ACAAAGCGGTCGAAAGGTGATCTTGGATAGATGTTTAACTTTTTGTAATATGGATTGGGCATCTTCTACATGTCTAAGTTCAATATCAAGTTTTTTGATATGACGAGGTAATTTCAAACCAATAGTATTGCGAGTAATCAACATCATCCTATCAGAATCATTGCACATGATTTGTATTGAACGAAGATTCAATGCTCGCTTGTATAGAGCATCCATTTCGACATCCAACCTTTCGTTGAAGTTACATTCACATAAGAAATTCAAGCGTATCGCTTCCAGATTGGTTAGATTAATAATTGTTGAAAGATGTTGAATTAAGTCGATAGGCCATTCTTTATCAATCATTAATGTAAGGTCTGTCACATTTCGAAATATATGTTTCATTGTTACATTGGGCTAAAAATAAAATATCAAATCAAAATCATATACTCATTACAGATAGATTTCTCTATGAAATCGAATAGTCTTATTCAACAATATCATATTTAAATAAGAAATATTTGTTTAAGTGCAGTCTACATCTCTGAGTATCGAATATTTTGTAAGCGAGAATGTTTTATTCTTTATCAAAATGAGAAAACGAAAGAATCCCTTAAGAAAAGGCTACAAGTCTGATAACTAGGACGAAATCAATCATTTACACAAGAATGTGTGTGTATTACACTTTCTTCAGTTGAGTACTGAGCAAAATTTTATATATTGAAATTTATTGTATTATTGTTATCAATCAAAAGGAAGTTTGGGACTTTCATTATTTTGAAAATTTGAATACTTCCTAACTTTTAATCGAATAACCTCGAACAAAAAGAGTACTATCGGATATAGAACTAAATTCTGTATCCAATGTAATTTTTGATCACAATGCGATAAAAATGAGTAGCTTTTCAGTAAACTTCACCTTATGTCGGATGATTCTCATCAGAAATTATATCATTTTAATAGCAGACACTATTTAAATACAAAATTGTTTCAACCATTTCAGTAATACAAAAAAAAAGAGAAATTAGGACAACAATTACGATCTTAAAATGTAGGAATGATCTATTGAATTCTTTTGAGTAGAACTGATAAGATTTGAAAAAAAAAAGTAAAATAATTCTTACCTTTTCTTGAATGTTTTCAGTCATCATTCGATTAACATCTATGGTTAATTTATATGAATTAACGACGATTGGTTCATTTTTATCAATAGTGTTCAATATGGAATTTATGACTCTAATTTGTCGATTAGAATAATCAAAATCATTCTGAAAGACTGGTATTGTATACACACGACTTCCATAAGCCAAATCAGCGTGATCTCGAGAGAATGATATCACAATCTGACGGCCGTTTAAGATATCTTCATCGCACTCATAGTCATATTTAACAATCCAACTGTTATTTTCAAGCCAAAATGGTGTTCGAAATGATTCTATCAATGATTCCATAATAGTACAATCTTGGTTGGCTCGTGCCTGATGAGAGAAATGAAATTCAAATTGTTTTAATAGAGGCAATTTTGTTTGAATTAAATTTGCCCATTGATGACCATTACACGACGAAAGATTATCTTCAGCTATCCAACCAGATAATCTAAGATGTGTTAGATTAGGTAAAAATGTAAGAATTGAATAAATATCACTTATTTTTATCCTGCTCCTAATGTATAACGATAACGATACTAAATTATTGAACTGTTTTACGTCAGATTGTGTAACAATATTCTCATCAGATTCACCTATATCAAACAGTTTCAAAACTAATGTTCGTAGATAAGGCGAATGATTAAGTATAAAGTAAATTATATTCCATTTACATCTACCAGAAATTGTCAAATTTTCCACTCGACATTGAATGGGCCATTGCAAATCATCAAGAATACGATCTTCACATGCAAGTTCCAATTTACGAAGACCATTAAGCGATACGATAGATGTTAATAATTGTTTTATGTTCTTAGGATAAGGGTAATCAAACGATATCGAGACTGTTGTAAGGCAACATTTATTAATATAGTTTTCAAATAGATCCGCATCTCTATCTCTTAAGTTAATAAGAGTTAATGAACGCAATCGAATGAATTGATCAAGATGAAAATGAGAAAGAAACAATGAAATTTCACCATATGACTCTTCTTCATCAGAAAGTGTTAGTGAAATAACATTTTTAGGGTCAATAATACGGGCCATGACCCGTATATTAGATATCGACATATAATGAAAATCTAGTCGATAACGATTGTAGTTATTGGTAATTGAGTAGAGTCTTTTGGATACACAGCGAATTGAAAAAAGAATTGTTTCTGCATCAAGTTCATCATAAATTCGATGAAGAACTTCAGCAGGTAATGTTTCAAGATAAGATTTCTTTATTGTCGCCATAAATCGTAGTATGTAGAATCGAAAAGTATAATATATGTAGTTTCTACCCGCTAAACGTTGAATATGAATAACTTGTCGTTTTCCACGTACAACTTCAAGAATGAGAAAAAAATAATAAGTGTTGAGATATTTATTTATTTCAATGTCATGGAAAAAACCCTGTAATTACAAAATGTATTTACTATGGGAATATTACAAGATAAAATTGAAATGACATATACGTAACACTATGAAGAAATTACGTATTGCATAACGGCATCAAAACGATTTTCCTCCTTGATCTTCGTCGTATGTATTATATAATGTTAAAAATGACTTCACTACCATACAACTTCTCTCTTATTGTAGAAAATAATCGCGACAGAAGATATTTCATACGAAGTGTTCAATAAGAATAGAGGATTGGTTGTCAAAATACTCATGATTAAATGTTCGATAAATTCATTTATTGATGATAGAATGATATTCAAGAATATTTCAAAATTTCTTTAGTCGTTTCGTTGGACATTTACATTTGTCAGTATTTGAAATTTCCATGAAATAACTGTGGTACACTTCATATTATGATAGTAGTGATATAAATATGTAAATTATAGAAGATTCTGGAGAAAAAGCTCTTATGTGTTAATTTGATATTTGGTAGAATTTTCGTTATGGTTTAATTGTAAACTGAATAGTTCCTTGGAAACTAGTCTGTCAGAGTTAATTTAAGTTAGACATTTCCTGATAGTTTTATCCGTGTATATTTGTATAATTTCGTAATTACTGATACATTTCATTATCCCAAGTTAGTATTTATTGAAATTATGCAATAGTTTCGTTCAATAAGGATAAACAAAATGTCCCACGAAAAAAAATCGAGAAAAATCGTGCTCAACCGTGGTTTTTTAAAACTCACCGCGTCGTTCTCATATAATAATACGGTGACATCGGACTAACCACGGTTAACCACGTTTTATCTCACCACGTCCAGAGGAAACCGCGGTGAATACGGACAGAAACGCCGTATTAATTACCGCGGTTACATGCAGTTTCGCAAACAATGCTATTCCCTTCTGGACTTTAAAGCAGTCAAAATGCCATAACAAACTCAGTCATAGCCGTGGTGCACCTTCATCACTTCATCAATAGATAGCTATCAGTAAGATTTCATTTTAGTGCACCGCGGTATTCACCTAAAAACCGCGGTTTTTCAGTTACAAATAGTATATATGACTACTTTTGTTTTGACACACTTGGAATAATCAGTGAACTTCTTGTACAGAAATGTGTAAGGATGGAAAGAATATCGTGCTCTAGTTTTTCTAGTATATATCTTGTTAACTTTGTCGCCGTTATGTGATTTGAAGTAATGGAACTCTATAGTTCACTACACTACTCCTCGAAGGACACTATCTGGTCTTGTCAAAAGATCAGGTAAATGCTGTCACACCTGAGTAAGATGTAACGACGTTGCGTTACTTTGGTAACGCGATATTTAGCAATCTCAGTAAGATGCGGTTTTTACAATCGCGGTTTCTGGCGATTTTGAAGAGATGAATAAATGGTCTGACTACTGTGACTCAGACTAACTGCTGAAAATCGCGGTTGACCGCGTTTTAGACTCAACGTTTTTTTCGCGAGGTAACACTTCTAGAAAAGAAAAATCTTACATATGGGATCGGCAATACTTTCCTAGGAAGAAAAAGAAAGAAAATAATTATGTTTCATAATATCACATGTATCTTTACTTAGAAGATACCTCATGAGTGGGGTTAAATGTCACAATGAATGTAATCAGAGGAAATAAAAAGAAATTATTCACTCGGTTTACTGAACCAATGGAAAATTAATGTAAAAATTACCGAAAGGTGGCGATGTGTACCCCTCTATCATTTGGACAAGAAAAGGGACTTGCTTTAGATAAATATTTTAATACATTAATTTCAAAAAACGGGAAAACATGAAAAGTCGACAAAAACTAGGGTGGGGTGTGGTTGTGGGTGTGTGGATGTGGGTGTAAGTGTTTTCCTCAATCATAAGCACCCACACCCTTACTACTACAGAAATCTTGGATAACATCATCTGGATATTTTAGTGTATTGGAATAAGAATCATAAATAAGACATCCTTCTCAAATATTTGTGGACATGTGACTGTACATGTGCAAGCAAACATACAAAGTCAATACAAATTTATTTTATTTCATAAGACACCCCGCTACTTTCAATTGTGAAACAAATCTTATATTTCCGTTGAACATCCTAATTACTCCTTGTTTTAGAAAAAAGGTATTATAGTAAAATAGCTGGTTATCGTCATTGAAATTGATACACAAAACTATCGTAGATATGTTGTATTTTGTTTCATAATTCAGCAAAGTGAAAAAAATCTATGGCTCTGTTTCGTCATTCAGTGCAATTCCGGTCATTGATGCTCTGAAATGCGCAGTTTTGTACTTCAATGCATGAATATATTGAACTTATTAATGATAGAAAAAAAAACTTATTAAACAAATGTAGAAAGATTTGGTTAGTAGAAATGAAAATGTCTGTCTTTCAGGACGCCATATGTCGAAAAGCGACGGCATGCTGATGATTATCTTTGTCCTTCATTTACCAAAAATGAAATAAATTTATATGAGTTTTACGCAAAAGTTTGAATCTAAAAAAGCATACCTCACGATTTCTGTTGACTTTTTTCAACTATTTTATCTATTCGAGATTAATCTGCCTAAGTTAAAAGATGAAAAGAGATCGCATGACAAATGAACTGCTCTTACTTTTTCCTCTCTTCAAATATTGCCTTAGATTAACATGTGCCTATCAAATTCCAATCATGAGACAAAATGACATGACATATGAATGATGTTAACTGGCTCTTTTCAACTATTGCTTCAAGTCGATGAGTATATACCGGGTTTACAAGTTTGTGGAAGGGTTACAAGATTTATGAAGAAACTTAAAAGACTCATTTCAATTGTCTTCTGAGCTCACAATGTTTCTACTGAGAATAAACTATGAAGTATAACGACATGGCACATGAACAACTGTTCTGTTGCTGCTCGTCATTCATTATTTCCTTAATTAGAAGGATCTATGTCGAGTTCAAAGTATGAAGGAAGACGAGTACATAGCTTATGAACAATTCTATACAACTCTTTTCAATTACTTGATGTGTTCAGATCATATTCACTAAGTTCAAAACATGAAAAAATATCACATGATCCGTGAACAATTCTACATCTCGTTTTCTTTTCAAATATTATTTCAACTCAGAGTGAATCTATCGCGTCTAAATTATGAGGAAAATACGAAATATAAATGAACACGTCAACGTGGTTCATTCCAACTATTTTCTTGCTTCGAAGAATATGAACACATTCTGATCATAGTGGTAGATCATATGAGAAATGAATAATTGTAAATTTACTGTAGTTTTGTGCAGCTATTTCGACGATTCGTAGGCTCTGTCTAATACAAAGTATGAAGAAGAAGTATATGACAGATATATGAACAGTTGACACGTTTCAACTATTTTTCCAGTTCGAAGAGTAACTATAGAAGTTAACAGTATCTGTCAACATCACTTGACAAGCGAATAACTCTAAGAGCAGCCACCCTCTATTCACGTATTTTGCCTCTAAGAGAAGTCCATGCTGAATTCAAATTATGCGTGGGAGCCAGATGATAAGTAAGCTGTTCGTTTGATTTATGTTCTTCAACTATCACATCACTCTGAGGTGTCTGTGTTAAGTTTCAAGAATAAAGAAGAATTACATGATGAAGAAACAATTCTATGCTTGTCGTTATTCAACAACTATTTTCATTTGATTGAACAGAATCCAGGTTATTGTCAAGTGCGATTATGTTGAATATGAATGAAAGACACGCTTTTGTATTGAATTTTCGACGAGTTGGCGTAAAGCCAATCTACGATTTGTAAGAACTTGATTTTGATCTTGAGCATTTGCGAAATACCATGCGTTGAAGATTGTGATCACCAAGATTAAAATTAGAAATAGACGCATTATTGCACTCCTGCTTAATCGTTATCAGTGTCAATTATGAGGGACGTAAGAATATCTTACTTGTTACAAATTTAATATTTATTATGTAATTTTAATGTGTATGCTTGTGCCTTATATACGCTTAATGTGAAGGAAAGCAAATGACGTAGTTATTCGTATTTTTTTTCGATGTTTGTTTTGTTTGACGTCATTGAAGCATTTACGTAATGTATATTCAGTAACGAAGAAAAAAAAAACAGGCCATACAATATGATGAGGAGATTTCTGGAAAAAGAGATCTTAATGTATGGGTGAATTGTGGTATCTGTCGCATTATTTACTATATTTTCTCTTTTATTTTAGAGACAAAAGATGAAACAAGTCATTATATCAATGTATGTATCGTCTTCTCTTAATATTTGAATCAGTAAATTTGCTTGATGTAAAATCATGATTACGTGTTGTTATTACTCATGCGTAATGACGTGATTGATGGGCATGATCAAATAGAATATTAAGGAAAGATTAAAATAATTGCATGACGTGATCCAACCATGCATAACAAGCAGAACACATATATGGATTGATATTTACAAAAGGCGTATCAAAGTCATGTTTTTTTTTACGCAAATAAAAATAGTAGGTGACACATTTGAATAATTTCATCAATTTAATTGCTTTAATGAATCGTAGATATGTTTTTTATTAGATAAAAAAGTGGTTTTTGTGGTTGATCATTGCAGATGCATAAGTTGAAATGTATTTTTTTCTGGACGTTCATAGAAGTCATATTCATTTCAATGATAGTAGCACATGATGAACTATCATCAACGTTAATGTTAAATGAAGTCCAACTTTCAAATACAGAGGTACTTTATCTTGCTGAATGTCTGCAAAACAAAGAGCATATGAATCGTGAAGATACAATTAACACCATTGCCGAATTGGAACATTTTTACTCAGTTGTCAAAAATACTAATTTTGAAATGTCTGTACCATCACCGATGGTCGACAAGGCATGGCATCAGCACATTCTAAACACAAAAATGTACAACAACTTCTCGCGTCAACATTTTGGCGTGGAAATTCTTCATCATCTACCTTTCTGGTCTGGTAACACAGAAAATATGGAGAAAATATCGAGTGTTGGTAGTGAGCTTACTCTATTAGATGTGTACAATACCATAGTGGTTATGTTTGGTTTTGAAAATGTCAATAAAACAGTATGGCTTATGAATGAAGATGACCTTAATCGTTTTCTTTGACAATGGATAGCACATTCCGAATTATAACCAGTTCGAGAAGTTGATACAATGCTTCTTCTTGTACCTTTTTTACTCTATCCTTACTGAAACTTAGTTGAATATCTATATGAAACGCGATCATTCTTGTGGATATGAAGAGAAATTGAATAGTAATGTTTCTTCATATTTTCGAAAAGTATACGAATTAGTTGCATACTAATTGTATGTTTTTGGTGTAGAAAACATAAAAAGTGAAAGTGTGAAAAATTTCGAGTGGCGTGCATCACTGAAAAGAGCGTTCTTGATTGTCAATAAATATGTATATTTTCCCAATGTTTGATTGATCTTTGGGTGAGATCATTAATCCCACTAAGTTCTAGTTTGGTTGATGCCAATTAAGAACCAGCATCTTGGAGATCTTTGAAAAAATCACAGTATGCGCTATCAAAATGGGCAAAATATATCCCGCTGAATACCAACTTCAACTAGTACTGATTTTGTAAAGACACTTCAAATGTGACATAAGTACTATTACAGTTCATTCATGGTATCAGATCCGATCATCAATGAGAAGTTGAATGATGTATTATAAATGCATATTTTATTGTAATTTAATCAAAGTACGTCAAAATAAATGTTCTTCTACATTCACTCGTATTTATTATTTCTTTTTTATTTGTATATGCATTGTAATAAACTGTTTGTATTAACCACAACGAGAAAATGAAGGATGAAAACAATAGTGGAAATTTCAAGCGGAAAGATCAACTCTTTCTCTAGATATTAGGACGGCTAAAGTTGAAAATGTCACGCTAAACGTGTGTGAGAGAGAGGAAAATTTTTCTACTCACGAATTAATGTTATTTTCCTAAAAAAGATTCCAGGATCAGGATTTTTTTATTGCATAAGGCAGCAAGGAAGATGAAATGGCGAGTTAGTCAATAGAAATCTATTTGTAATAGCTGCTAGCTACTATCTGACCAAACACAAAAGAATTCTTAAAACGAATAGAAGACTAGGCTTTTTATTGATTAGACAATGCTAACTTATGGACCGATTGATTTTGTGAGCTTCATATCGCCACATCGAATAAAGTTAAAACATTGTAATTTTCGGGGAAATGTGAAGAGTTACAGATTCACCTTCATACTCCGTGAAGTATTCACACATTTTAACTCCAATATTCTATAATCAATGTACTAAGAGAAGAACCAAAAGTTCGGTAAAGTTAATCGACAGCAAACTTTCTAGTAACATCGGTTTTTTTTTCAAAACATTAGAACGTATATTCTCGCAAGCATAACAAAATAATATTCATCTGTTGAATAACAAAATTCTATTCATTTGAATGTTATCAATACAAATCTCACGAAAATTAACGATTATTTTGATGATACATGATTTCTGGAGGTTGGACATGTATTAATTAAAATTCGAATACAACTATTGAAATATTTAATAAGTGAATACTTGAAGTTTCAAGTGTCAAAGTATTAATCGATGAAGTAATTACTAGAGAATCTTTGCAGACATATGAAGACAGAATGAAAAGGTATTTTAACAGCTGAAGATATTATGTAATTTTTAGACACATATTTGTAGTCATTGAAAGAGCAGCTCGACATTCTGGATAGTCAAGACATGAAAATGACATCAAAGTCATAAGAATATATACATTTTGGTAGACAAAGGAAAAAATTTCAGCCAAATACAACTATCATTCTTTGAGAAAAATAAGATTCAGGAGCAAAACTAGAAACCTCATCTACAAGTTAGTAAATTATAATTTCTACTAGAAGCAACTTGTTATTTATGTAGTAGACTATTTCAAGATTTCCTAGTTTTATTACCACCAAGTTAAATAATAAGAAAGAAAAAGTTTTTTTTCTTCGATGATTATGTTTGTGCAAATTAATTTCCTTTTTTGCTTTTAATAGATGCATCAAATATAATGATCACGCTTAGTATTTAAATTTTTATTCACTTAATATATTGTATTAAAAAAAACAAAATATACCACTAGATGTTGCATGAAAAGCTCTAGAATTTACATGGAACCGGTCATATTTATACTTGATTTTTGGCTTTTCAAAATCGGCAAAATTCTCTTTGAACCAATTTGGACCGTGCAATACGCGGTCTTACAGAATTTTGCTTTTTTTGAACCCAATTACAATAAGCGTTACTCTGTAAATTGTGGAACTTTTCATGCTACATTTTGTGGTATATTTTGTTTTTTTAATACAAATATATTAATTGAATGAAAACTGCAATGCAAACCATGTGTATTATATCTGGTGCACCCGTTACTATTTCGATCTTTCATGGCTCATCTCTACAAATGACAGCGCATAAAAAAAATCAATGCAAAAAAAAGGGAGCAGTTAAAATGAGACACAAAATGCTACTCAAGCAAACAGACATATAGACTTTTCGCGTTGTTTGAACAAAAAAGGAACACACTCTCAGCTTTTTTTTTGTATATATTAGTTTTAACTGCAATTTCCACAAAAACTGAAGTTTTTGCTCAATTTTTGAGACATTTTCGCTGATAACTGGATGTTTTGTCCAAAAAACGAGTAAAAACTCGAGTTTTTTGTCGAAACTACAGCTAACACTAACATAGACAAAAAAGCTGAGAGTTTGTTTCTTTTCTGTTCAAAAAACATGAAAAATCGATGTGTTTGTCTCCTTGGGTAGTGAAATGAACAGAAACGTATGATACAAGATCTTTATCGACTTTTCTTTTCAACTACATTCACAGGATTATTTTCATAAACAAATTCATCAGCTGGAAATGCTGAATGTCCAAGACCATATACATGTTCGGAATATTTTCCTTCATCAATAGAATCTTCGAAAAATAATACTTTCATTTTAAAAAATGCTAAACCTGTCATTAAACTATTACTACCAGCTTGATGTTGTGGACCAATACGTTCAATCTAAAAGAAAAATCAAATAGTAGCCATTAAGAAAAACAAAAGCGTCAATATATTTTACTTCAAGTTGTTCAGCCACTTCCTCAAAACCAACTTTAAGGTTTTTACAATTTTTCATTAAATATTTGACATCATAAATAATTGGAAAAAATATTACTAATAATTCAAAAAATTCACTTTCAGCATCTGGTAATAATTTTCCAGTGAGCATTTTCAATAAATACCGAAAAT